AACTAAGAGCCTCATTGCCAACCTCTACTGGGCACGGCTCGTCCCGGAGAATCGCTTCGAGATCGGCCCTTCCGCATTCATTGGTCTAACCGCATTCAACAGGGAGGCGTCTGTTTCCGTACCAACTTCACGTCTTTCACGATTCTTATCCTGAAAACTCTGTCTAACTCAGCTATACTCAGTGTAGCAGTGCAGTCAGTCGATTGCGATGATGGTCCAAATTCCTACCTCCCATTGCCTCTGGACGATTCTTGCCGCTTGTGATGTCACACTGGCCACCTCGCCTTGTTCACGGCATAATTCCTACAAAAGTTACCATGAATTATTGCCAAAAAAGAATCTTTCGAACGATCAGGTGGAAATTTTGGTGCTCCGTGACCAAGGTCACATACATGGAACGAGTGCAGCTCCATATACGGTCGGATAAAAGGGTCGAGAGCACGTTGCTCTTTAAAAATAGGACCTGAATTGAAATAGCTAATAGTTTCGGCGAGCTGTAGCGAAACAGCTGGCAAGCACAAGTCCAAAGCCTCAAGAAATCCCTTCAGCGAGTGACTCTTTAGGTGGATTCACCAGATGTGCACACCAGCTCAACAATTACGATCGGGGCACATACTGCCGTTGGGAGAAATTTTTCCAAAACACCACAGGCCTCGAAGGTTTCTTTCCTGATACGACCCCCCCCCCTCCCGCATCCCCATCGCCCATCTTCCAATGAATTTTCCCCAACTTTCTACCTTTTTTTCCCGGAGAAATCTTCCTTTTCCCCCAGAATGCTCCCGTCGAGGGGGAGGGGATGTACAGTGCATTTGAAACAGAGAAAACCGAGAAGAGCCGTCACCCGGAAACTTGTCCTCATAAGCGAACACTGCCGTCCACTCCCCTTCCCTCTCAATGTCCAAGTAGGTTTCCCCCGCTGGGGACCGCCAACCTTCAAGGAGCCCTGACTATGGCCGCAACTGTTGATGCCAGTTCCTGAAATTCGGGTGCCGACATTTCTACACGAATCATCAACACGTACCTGTAGATCAAGAATCTGCCTCTCCTTGTCCAAAATGACGTTGTTCAACTCAACAATTCTTTCGTCCTGGAAAGAGTTCTTTCAGCGGCCGATACTGAGGTGAACTTAAGGGTAGCAAAAACCTTGAAGAGCATCTGCTGATGGATCCGATCCATGTCAAGCATTTGAGCTGCCCGTTTTCTTTCTTGAAGTTCCACCGAACTCAGGGGTTGTGAGGCACGAAGCTGTTCTTCCATGTTCTTCAAAATTCATGTATTAAAACTCTCTCTCTCTCT